GAAAGCGTCTGAAGTTGACTTTAGGGCAGCAGCGTTGTGTGTGTCACGGTGCATTTCATACAGACCTGCGGATGTTGGCAGCTCCTGGGGGGAGGCTCGCGGGAGTGACCGTCCGCTTCCGCTTTCCAGGTCAGATCGACAACCGGAGCAAGCTACGGAACATCGTGGAGCTGCGCTTGGCCGGCCTGGATATCACGGACGCTTCCCTGCGGCTCATCATCAGGCACATGCCTCTGCTCTCCAAACTCAACCTCAGTTACTGTAACCACGTGACGGATCAGTCCATCAACCTGCTGACCGCGGTGGGAACCACCACGCGGGATTCCTTAACGGAAATTAATTTATCAGGTAAGTGCCAGGGAGGGGGAGGATGGGAATCATGGAATGGTTTGGGTTGGAAAGGACCTTAAGATCATCCAGCTCCAACCCCTGCCCCGGGCAGGGACACCTTCCACTAGAGCAGGTTGCTCCAAGCCCCTGTGTCCAACCTGGCCTTGAACACTGCCAGGGATGGGGCAGCCACAGCTCCTCTGGGCACCCTGTGCCAGCGCCTCAGCACCCTCACAGGGAAGAGCTTCTTTCTTATGTCTAACGTGAATCACCCTTGGCCTTGAGCGACAGGGATCGGAGAAGGGAGACCCGGCTGCTGGCACAGCACGGGGGGAGCACAAACCACCCTCATGCTGCGGATCAAACCCAGACAACCCCGTTCGTTGAATTTCCCTCCCCTTGACTTTCTGTTCTCCCCCTGCAGACTGCAATAAGGTGACTGATCAGTGCCTGTCTTACTTCAAACGCTGTGGAAACATCTGCCAGATCGACCTGAGGTACTGCAAGCAAGTGACAAAGGAAGGCTGCGAGCAGTTCATCGCAGAGATGTCAGTAAGTGTTCAGTTTGGGCAAGTGGAAGAAAAACTCCTGCAAAAACTGAGTTAGTTAAAGGACACGTGTAAATACTGGGGCGAGGGGGGGACGGGACTGAGAACACACGTAGGGATTTTATTTTCAATTGGGAACTTGGAATATTGGAAAATACCGCGATGGGATTTTACAGCTCCTGTTGGGAACAACATGAAACTACCCATGTTACGAATTTCAACTTGTGCCACTGGTGAACTCGGTCTCCCCGGGGTGTCCTGCACTGGCTCTTATGCAAATCCATAAGGCGACTGTTACTGGTGATAGTTGTTCACACCCGGAAGACGACTGAGCTCCAAGAAATACTGTTATTTAAAGTACCACAGCATGTGCTTGGTAGTGTAAATTTGATTTCTGCTTTTCATTTCTTAAAACAACCACCACAAAAAAAGAAAAGAGAAGTTGGTGTCATTACAGCGGACCACGCACTACATCTCTCTGCCTTCTTAACCACGTTTTGTTTTGTTACATCTTACATTATGCAGAACTATTTTTGTACAAAAATTGTTTAAAAATTATTTATGCAATGTTTGAATGCATTACCAGTGTTTCGGTTTTGATTGCCAATTTTTATCTTTACTTATGGTAGGCGAGAACTTAACCTATACTTCGTAGACAGTATCTATCTACAGCCGTGCCCAGGTCAGGAAAAAGTAGGTTCATACTTTCAACCTTCAAGCATGTTTTAATGGAAGTTTATATCCTGCTTTGTATACTTCAGAAGTGACATAAGCATGTTGTGGAAATAAGGTGTAAATTATAGTTGAAGTAAAAAACACTTTTATCTGTATAGAAATCACCTTTTTTCTCAAAATTTTAAAGAATTCCAATTTCAGCTTTTGCACATAGGAGGGTTTCACTCTGTAGCATGAGCTCTTGTACTCAATATAAAATTAATTTATACAGTGAGTCCAGCGGTAGAATAAATGGTCAAACGTAGTCTCTCTTTCTTTGAAGTGTGAGTTGAGTTCTCATTTAAGGTTTATAACATGGTTATTTCCTGATTGTAAAATTCTGCATTCATAAGTGCCATTGTTGTACGGTGTTGTTTTCGTAGACCTTCCTGATGCAGTTTTACCTTTGTTGAATTTGTATAAACAATTGTACAAAAACAGGCGCTGGCTCCGCGGGTTTCTGTTCCGTGGCACAGGGGGGAGCTGCGTGAGGGGTTCCACGGGGGTTCTTGATCTTGTTGTGTTACGTGTAGCGTGTTCACAGCACTTGATGCCTGTCCTGTACCTCTAGGAATGCTGACAGCACAAGAACAACGTTAAAGCTTGAGCTCAGTCCCCAGCAGCGGTGGAGAAAAGAGGCAGAGGCCGAGAGAGCCCATCAGAAATCTTTATTACGCTTGTGTGGCGAATGATCAGCACGGAGATTACAGAGAGGGGGTTCTCCTCACTGGCCAACCTGCTGAGCAGAGGCTCTGGGCACTCAGTGCCATTAAAAAGTTACTGCTAAAAAATAAAGCCAGTGGGAGGTTTGCTCCCTTCTGAACAATAACCCGCGGCGGCTGCAAGCTGTGTGCTGTTCGGAGGAGGAGCTACTTTCTCAACCCAGCGTAACTGTTCACGTAAAGGATGAGAGCAGGCCTGGTAGAGCTGTGAGTTCTCCAGTACTACAGACTCTGTTACTTGCTGCCACGCAGGAGAAGCTGCAGCTACACTGAACAGCCCTGCTTAAAGGAACAAGTGCCCAGAAAACCTGCATCCCTGCTTTGCCTCTGTTGGGTTTTTACAGTGAACACAGCCATGGCCACGACTGGCTGCAGCATCTGTCCCTAAAACATGAGCAAGTTTCCCCGGTATCCTACAGGCCACTTAAAACCCTGCTCCGAGTGGAGCCTTCCCCCTGCTGATGGCACAAAGCCAGCTGGGCCCAGAGCCAAGGGCTGACAGCAACGCCAGGAGCTGAGGGGAAGAGTGGTTGTTAGTGACACAGCCCGGGTTAAAAGCCTGTGATTGTGAGGTTTCAAACAAATACTGCATCTCCCTTCCCCTGAACAACCACCCCCTGTTTAAGGTCAGTAACACTATGAGTACATTCCACGTGTTAGCAGCAAGAAGTTTCATGACCCTGATTAGTATTCACAGTACAGATGGAGTACAATCATCACACGTTAAGAGTAATAGTTACAATAGGCATGAGTGGCTTAAGGACCACAGTAATATGGTTACTATATACCCCCTTTTTAAAAAAATAGGTTATTCCTAAACTAAAAACCACTTAGTAATGGGCAGTTGGACACCACACAGCAGAGCCCTGCACAGTGACTGCGCCCTACACCACGACGGAGGCTTTTGTACAGTTCCAGGGAATGGCCAGGGCAGCACGTGTGTAACGGCAAGACACTGCTTGAGGGCCTCTGTGCAGGTACCATTCATGGCAGTGCTTCCTGCAGGCGCAGCTTACTGCTACCACTGCTGCAGGAGCAGCGTTGCAGCACTTACATTCTATAATTACATAAAAGCTGAATATTCAACTGATATTTGTTGCTTCTAATGCACTAGACAAGGTCACACGCAAATACAGGCAAGCAGTGGTGTTCCTGACTGCTTGCTGAGTCCTGAACGTGTTCATTTGAGGTGGTATTATTCAGAAGAGAGCAACGGCTGCTGTAAACAGTTTGATCCAACTGTGTGGGGTTGTAAGGTGAGTTACTGTACACACAGGCATCGTCCTGCCCAACCCCAGCATTCAGTTACGCTGTAGAAAAATCTTTCATAAACTTTTAGGATCCTAATCTTCAAAATGCTGTTTATTGAAAAGCTGAAACGCACCCCAAGGTTCAGCATTCCTGCCCACAGGAATCCTGGATGGGTGACGGCACCACTGGGGCTTTGGTCTGGGGTTAAGACTTGAAGACGTGCACGGCCCGGACGACGTACTGTCGGCAGATGGGGCACTCGCTCATCCTCTTGCCACACTTGGTGCAGGTGACCATGTGGCCACATTCCAGCAGGACACAGTCGATGACGGCGTCCATGCAGATCCGGCACAGGTTGTCATCGTCGTCCGTCAGCTGCATCTTCTCACCCTCTGAAAGCCAACAGAGAGGGAGGTCAGGCACTTGGAACTGGCGCTGCTGCCTGGTCACAGCAGCTTTTCTAATCCACAGCTAGGAGCTAGTCTATATTCCCTCAAAAAAGGCAAAGAACCTAGAACTAGAAACCCCCTAGAAGCAAAGTGCCACTATTCGGCTTTGTTCTTTAAACTGGAAGACCATTTTCAATTCAGAATATAGTGAGTGTGAAGGAACATGCTGGATTAACATTCAGAGCATGTTGGTTTTCCATCTCGGAGCTTATTCTGGTTGGCAGAACGCTTTCCTCAGAACATTAAATACAATAATAATAATAATAGTAAGATGGCTTCCACTTCTTAGTCTGCTTTAAGGAACCTGTGAAGGTGGCAGAACTGAACAAAGCCTGTCAAGTTTCATTGTAAATAGACAAAAGTCCCTGGCAACGACCAAATGTTCCATCAGACCATGGTGAAAAAAATAAGTAAATCTAAAAGAATCATAAATTTATAGCTTGAGCTGAGGCAGGGTTTCAGTTCTAGTCTGTCACCAAACTGAGAGTCTCACTTAAACCATGCTTTGACACCTACTTAAGCCCTGCCTCAGTGCTCACTAACAAACAGTCCCCACCTGCCCCAATCTGGTGTGTATTTCACACCTGATTATCAGAGGCCCGGCAGTGTCTGTGGCTGGGCAGTGGCACAGGGCTGTTCCTCAGGGCCCAGCTGCTGGGGGCAGCAGTGAGGACCCAGGCAGGTGTTTCTGAAGCTGATAATGACACCAAAACAGTTGCTTTTCAGATTATAAGACCTGAACATGCATTGGTCTGTGGACATACAACAGTCACACAAGTGAAGGACTCCAGTTGTTGAGCCTAAGAGAGGGCAGAATACTCATCACTGAGCTGTGGCCACAGAACCACCACCTAATGAAAATGTGTGCAGAGCCCAAACCACTTGAACTTGGACTTTTGCCACTGTAGCTTCTACTTCTTAGCACAATAAAAGGCCTGAACTGCTCTGGCCTCTTGGCAGCCACTGAGCAGCTCTCACTAATGCCTTGTGAAACCTAGTAAAGGATGCAGAGGTGCCAAGTTTCATGTTCTCCGAGGAACTGGTTCTCAGTTGTGCAATTTTACCTTCGTGGGGAAAGCTGAGCTCTCTGAGCTTTGGAAAAAAGACTTAAAGCCCCAGCACAATCCTGGAAAGCTTCATTTAATCCCTAGAACAATATCCAACTACTCTAGACGCACCCTGGGTTGTTAAAACCCACTTTTCCAGTTGTCCTAGCTGAGCAGACCAAGTTAGATAACCAAGTCCTTCTGTTGGCAGAACCAGCTACTGGAGACCCAAAAATAGTCTTACAAAAAAGTGAGAATAAAACATAAACCTACGTGTTTTGTGGTTTTCCTCACTCTCTCTGTATAGTCTGCTCACTTTTTCCACGAGTTCCCATTTTTCACAGCATCCTGAGTAGTTGACAAAATTACAGGCAAGTATTTCCTTCAGCTGCCGAACACTCAACCCTTCAATGTCTTCCAGACTTGAAATATCAGACAGAGACGCTCTCGCTCGCTTTCTGGACAGTCCAGGGGTCTGAAACATGTCAATTACATGGTTTTAGCTGTCCTGGTAAGTTCAGAGCACCAGATGTGGTGCTGCATTAAGCAACAGTAGCTTGGCTAAAGTTTTACTCTTTTTAAAGCAAGTTATGTGCAGATACATGTTGTCAGACACAGCTGACTAACCAGAACAAGATACTAAATGTGACAGAGATTTAAACACTTCACGATATCACAAGCCAAAGATGCATTCTGTGTATAGTTCATCTCTCACCTGCTCTTCTGGACTTTCTTCTTCTTCATTATTGACAGAAAATGTTTCTGTTTGTCCCTGTGTACAAAACAAAACCATCAGGATAAAGCCACACCAAACTGACCACAAACAACAAGGACATTTTCAAGTTTCAATTGCTGTTAAGCATTATCAGTTTAAGTCACCTCTAACACCTCACCTTGTAATCTTACCTAATAATCTGCTGGTTCCAGGTGAGAGATTAAAAAAAGGCATTTTCCCTGCCACCCCAAACCATAGCAGTTGGCATTTTATTTCAAAGCCATGCATACCTACTAAAAAAGCTATGCTAGACCATGAACCACGCAGTAATTCCTGTACCTGTAAAGGTGTTCCATTTCCTGTGCTTCCACTTCTGTCTGCAAGTTCTCCTTGAGATGACACTGATACAGACATAGAAAATGGATGAGTAAAAAACCCTGAAGTCTGTGACCGTGACGAGTGCAAGCTGCTGCTGTCCATGTCCTCCGAACCTAACCCGTGGTGGCACAGCACCAGATCCACCAAGTCTTCCTTCTCTCTGCAAGTATCTGTCGGTATGTTTCTGAGAATCAGGTACTGGCGCAGATCCTTCACTTTCAATCTCATTAACTGAGGGCGCTGAAAAGCTGTTTCTTGCAGCAAGTGACAAGTGGAACATCTCCTGAGATTCTCTTGTGAAACGGAGCAAACGGAGCAAAAATCCTTCTTGCAGTCACAACACACGTGCTGGGGAGAAAGGGAAATAACCACTGAGCTGTGCAGGAAACAAAGCCAGACCCTGCTCTTCCCTTCTCTGGGCTGTATCATTTACTTTAAGTCTTTCAAGTGTCAATTTTGACAAAGAGCATTTTTAGGAGTTATGTCTAGAAAACTGCCCTGTCGGTTCCGCAGGAGTTCCGAGGAAATCCCGTTGCTTTTGTAGCACTGCTGTAAGCTACAATCTTACCTGAGGGGTCACTGAAAAAACATTATGAATAAACAAATGAATGAAGTACTCCAGATGTAGCTTAGACAATACAGGAAAGTGAATGCCAGTGAATTTCTTGGTATGTTAAAATACACCTGAATACACTTGAGTGTCACAGCTGCATTCGCATGTGTAAAATACAATATAAACCCCACTTTACAAAACATTCTGCTTCCTCCATTGATTCAAAGAACTCAAAGCAGGCCTTAAATGTGGTGAATTGCATTGCAGGTTAAGTACTCCCAAATGCCCAGGTGTCATTTCTGACAAGAGCTTTGTTCACAAGGCTCACACAACACACACAAGCTGGAACAGGCAAGACTTTGAGCAGCAATTTTAAATGGTCACCTCATCCACTGTGAGCAAATCGAGTTTTTCAGGATTTTAATAAATTTGTATTAGCTTCATAAAACATCCCAACACGACACTTAATTCAACAATGTGTTTGCCATGTGAACAACAGAAGGAGGCTTCATATTTATCTAAAAGAGCTGCAGGGGATTAGGTCACACTGGGCAGTCATGATACATAAACCCAGTATTAAACTAACTTAGTAACTCACCCACCTGCCTCCAAATGAAGCAAGAGGCTGCTGAGGTGCAACGGCATTTAACAGAACTAAACCTGGTCTGGAAGCAAACAGAACGACACGAGTACGTCACAGAAAGAAGCTGTGACACTACATTGTGAGTTTTTAGCTTTTCCATCACACAGTTTGTTCATTCCAGTACTCAACCACTACATGTGGTATCATCTTCAAAACCAGGCTTGTTTTAATGTTTAAGGCTCTGAAGCTAAACCACATATCCTACAAATTAGAATCCTCTAATTTTTAGGTCAGAGCGGATCCAGTGTGTCACCGATTAATGAACATCAGACTCTTAGCTTCTAATCCTGTCTGACATTAATTTCCTGTGACCTCAGAGTAAGGCATTTACTCCCTCCCCTGGCTCTCTGCCCTGGGTATCCGTATCTAAGGAAGAATACACATTCATCTCCCAGTAAGCCTACAGATCAGCTCCTGTGAGTAGAAATACTGTGTAATAAGAAATATACTCACTTTTTTCCTGAAAACCGAAAAGGAAAGTCCACAGGCTTTGCAAACTATGTTAGTGCCTGCAGCAGCTGAGGATGGGTATGCTGAGAAGTCTGTGTTCGGTGCGAATCGGAATGGGCCAGCACCTCCCCCAAAGCCAGCCTGCTGGCCACGGACCGCTCCAGTACCCATCACTTCATTCAGCAATCCACAGCAGGAAGCCCACATGGAAGTAGCTCCCGCCTGAAAAACATTCATAAAGCAAAAAAAGAGAGTTAATATCTGAAAGCCCACATCAGATGTGCCTTGCTACTGAAATGCTACTTCAGTCCATCTGTCATCATCCCAGAAGCATGTGGTGCGAATTCCCAGAGCACCGGGAATTCAGCACGCTAACGGCTGGAACAGCCCAATAATCCCCACTTCTCAGCTGCAAACCAAAGTTGGTGGGATTTGCTTCCAAGAGGCTATCACAGGCAAAAGGAACTCGCTTTTATAACTCCTTTGCTAGCAGAGTTGTGCACAAAAAGGGTAAGGAATGAGCAGGTAATGCAACAACAGAGCAAAGAACGAGACTAACAGCCAGGCACAGGTGAAGAGCAAAACCTTAAGTGATGACTAGTAGCAACACAGCAATTTATCACAATTAGTGCAGATCCCCTGAAGGATCCTCTGCAGAGCTAACCCAGCTCTTCTATGACTCACACACAGCTCTCTTAAACAAAAAAAAACCAACAAAAAAAACCCAACAAACCCAAAAAACCTTTCTGGATTTTCAAACTAGAAAGTATTACACCAAGCCTCGTGAGAAACTAGTTACAGACCAGTTTCTCTGAGGACAATGTTCTCCAAGACCTCCCTCAGCCTGCTGGTTTGCTGCCTTACAAAATGTCTAACAGAACTTAACGTAACTCTAAATGAACTTACTCTCTATTGACTGGATTTCAAGTTCTGAGTCACACAATCTTAAAAGACCATAAAAAACTCTAAACACATAAATCAATGGCTACTTTTTATCCTTGGAAGTCTTTAGCACTCGATTCTCTATCAAAAGTGCATATTCTACTTAAAGCTGGGATTTGGACTCCAAGTTGTTCAGGTCACATGTTTAATCACTGTCATGTGGCCCAATGAAAGAATCACATCAGGTTCTTTCTGAAAGGAAGCTGAGTGGTACAACTTCATTTAAACTTTATATATAGTTTACATATATATACATGTAAATATATGTAACTACAAATGTAATACATATTTTTTCTTAATTATGCTGATTAGAGCTGTTCTGGTTTTCAGTTCAGGGCAGCATCTTTGGGTTTTTTCCCCCCCCAAGACATCAAATAATTGCTTTTGAGACTTGTGGCTCTCACTGAAAAACCTAAACTGACCAGAACATGCACTTCAGCTCAGTAATGATGGTACTTAACTCCTGTAGTAACTGGATTAACTTCTGCATTAAGTTGCACATTTACCCTGGACAGAACACAGTCCTGTTACATTTGTGGGAACTTTACACAACATCCTGGGCTATGCCAGAACTTCTCCTTTCAAACCACTGAGCACAACAGGCAAGAAAAGAGTCCTCACTCTGTGGTGAGAAACGACGCCATAGGACCAAACATGTTCTACACCACCACCTTCATGCAAGTGCCTTAAGTACAGAACATCAAAAGCATCTCTCCAACCCACACAAACCTAGTATTTCACTTTTCCTGTTGTAAGCTGACATTAGAAGTCTTGCAATACAGTGAAATAACGAACAGTCATTCTGCTCCTAAGCAGCACATCACATGACACTGTGTGCAGTTACAACATCGAATATACATGCAACAAATTGAATTCACTAATTTTATAGGTGTTTCAAGAGCAAAATTCACCCCAGGCATGACCAGAAACCTCCATGCAGTGGGCACCCCACACACAGGAGGAAACCTCCCCAAGCCTCCTGCGAATGGAGTTCAAGGGGGATGAACTCCAGTGGCCCTGCCTTGGTCCCCAGCCACGACACAGGGCCTTGGTCCCCAGCCAAGACACAGGTAGCCCCAGCATGTGGCTGCACTCCAGATACACGGAGCACTTGGAGCCTCTCCAGCATGTGATCAGACTTCTGTGACAATCATTAAACCATCACCAAACTCAGACTTGCTTCCTACTTGCCAATAATAAAGAGTGGAAACAGATCAATGTTATTTTTTCCCATACAAGTTCTGCATAATTACTCTAGTTTATTAGGCAAAAGTAATTCACTTTCTAGAAATACATTCTGAAAACCAATGAGAGCACCAAGTTGTAAAACTTTAAACTGGGACTTTTGAAAAATATAGTAACTTTTTAAATATTATTTAATATTTTAAAATGATCTGTTGGTAGTTTAACACCTGCTTCCTTGACTTATTTGATTCAAGAGCCTGCAACAAGTGCTCAGACATCACTGTCAACACTAAATAAACACATACTTTGGAAACTCGTAACCTATTTTGGATAAACGAACTTTGTTAGTCTCAAAATCTCTTCACACTCACTGCCAAGCATTCAGTCATTTTGAGGTGAGAGGTAAAGCAACGTGGCAGCATTGATTTTCTCCTTAACCTAAGTCAGCTGTGAATGCTTTCTGTGCACTTGTGTCGTTAACTGACAATCGAATTACAGTGTCTAGACTCTTCACATTACTCTGTAAAGAAATGAGACCATGCTGAGAAGCACCAACACAAGATGCAAATTAAACACTACAACAAAAACTCCTTCCCTTGAGGATTAATTCAAATTTCGCCAATTTCTGCACCAAAACGCTTTCCAACCACATCAGGCACCACTTCCATATTCTCTTCGAACTGACAATCGAATTACAGTGTCTAGACTCTTCACATTACTCTGTAAAGAAATGAGACCATGCTGAGAAGCACCAACACAAGATGCAAATTAAACACTACAACAAAAACTCCTTCCCTTGAGGATTAATTCAAATTTCGCCAATTTCTGCACCAAAACGCTTTCCAACCACATCAGGCACCACTTCCATATTCTCTTCGCAGGAGCTGCCATCAGCTATCTTCTCTCTCCATACGTTATGTGCATCCCATAGAGGCAAAATACAGCACTGGAACTTCTCTGCTCTTGGTTTTGGCTTTAGGGGCGTTTAGAAACCTGATGAGACTTTCCCCTCAGAAAGACAAGCACCCCAAGAAGCTGGGAGGCTGCATGCAGCTCCTTCCGCACCCGTGCGAGCAGGATGCGGTATCAAAACCGGCAGACCCCGAGGAGAGCAGCAGAAAGGATGTTTTTTCCTCTCTTTTGAGCTGAAATTTGGTCTTTACCCCCACCCTGCGATGAAGCAAGGCTTTTTCAGGGACCGAGCACCCCTCGGAACCCACCCAACTGGGAGCTCCCTGGTCACGACGACCCTCAGCCCTCCCCTGAACACACAACGACGATCTCGAACGCGAAGAGGCTCCTCTGGAGATCGAACCAGTGACCG